GGTTGCCTCTTGCTATGTCCTTAGATGGCCTGTTTTTTGTGCATATATACTCCTGGGTCTCATCCTCTTATATGGATACCAATCTCATTGGTTTAGGGCCCACCCTTATGACCTTGTTTAACCTTATCTCCTTCTTAAAGGTCTTATCTCTTAATATAACCACATTGGGGCTTAGGTCTTCAACAAATGAATTGGAGCTGGTGAAGACACAGTTCAGTCCATAACAATGCCTAAAACAATTGAAAACAGGGACTCAACACGTACTGGTATGCCAGTGTTCATAGCGTTATTACTCATAATAGCCAAAAGGTAGAAACAATCCAAGTATCCATCAACAGATGAATGGATACACAAAATATGGCTTATCCATACAATGGAATATTATTCAGCCATAAAAAGGAATGAAGTACTAATTCATGCTACAACATAGACTAACTTTGAAAAAATACTATGTGAGAGAAGCCAGACACAAAAGGATAAATTATGATTCCACTTACACGAAATACCTAGAATAGGCACATTCATAGAGATTGCCAGGGGCTGGGAGGAAATGGAGAGTTACTGCTTAACAAGTACAGAGTTTCTGTTTGGGGTAATGAAAAAAATTTGGAAGTAGATAGTAGTGATACTGACTCAGGGATGTAGGGGCATAGGGGTGAAATAAAATCCGACTCTAATCTCCATAGTTGCACCACATTGTGAATGTATTTAATGCCACTGAATCATATGCTTAAAATGGCTCAGGGCCAATAGGTGGTGTGGAAGTTAAGGCAGCTGGATCACATATATGGCCAACTGCATAGTTGGAGTCCTAGACCTGGCAGCTTGAAAATCACATTGGGCACATACGAATGTGTGCCCAAAATCCTGAAAGGAGAATGAAGAAGAGGGGATTGTGGCATGGCCATACCCTGTGGGGGAATGATTTCTTGCTTTATGTCTCTCTGTCTCTGGCAAGTGCACACACCCTATAGTAAAGATCTCTCTTTAAAAAATAAATAAATATTTCTCATTTAAATGTGGGGACATTCTTTTTTAAAAATCTCCTAATCACCATTTTCATGTTCTCTAAAGAGCCTCCATCTCCAGTTACACACTCACTTTTTTTTTAACGGATCTTCTTGCCTCAGTCTCCCAAGTAGCTTGGGCTATAGGCATGCCACCACACTTGGCGTTTTACCACATGTTTTTCATAGTACTCAGCACTCTCTACAATTTAATATTGTTTGTGTACTTTTAATTCCCTGACTCCCACATAGATTTCATGAGAATAGATTCTAGAATGAGGCAATCAAATTAATATGTGTTTAAAAAAAATGAATCACTAATGCAAGGACTAAAGGGTTTATTTAGGGAAAGGTATGAGAAAATTAGTTGGACTGATGTCTGCTGTTTGGTCTCACAATAGTGACAAAGACAGCTCTGGGATGGCAGCTGGCCACCTTGGTCTCAGGAGCATGACTCAGATTAGCACAGTCTTTGCTTAGAGATGGAAAATGTTTAGAAGCCATAAAGCAGGACTAGCATGGTAGAGATGTATGAGGGAGGCCACAATCAATACAGAATGTCTAGAGGAAACCCACCCAGAGAGTAAGACCTGCCTCATGAGTGGAGAGAGTGGGCCCACCAAGGGTGGGGAGAGGAGAGCTCTGAGTTTCAGAGGGAATTGACAGCAGCCACACCGCTGAGAGC